TTGGCACAACCTAGCATCAAAATATTAAACTCTTCACGCTCGCCCACTCAGCGGTTTCTTCAGGGACCGTATGCTTAGACGTGCCTAGGAGGAACGAAAATTGTCTAGTTTCACGTCCATTTTCTGAGAACGAAACCTTGGTCAGTGTTTTGCGAAGACATTGGATGGGACGTTGAAGCAGAATTTAGCGGAAAACGCGAAAATATAACAAACAAATGTAAATGAAGAGGCGGGAAGCTTCCTAATGATAAACAAAGACTTATAGGGTTGCAAAAATTTGGGTGATTGTTGAATGATAAGCGTACTATAAAGCATCTAAAACTCTATGGAAGAGCAACTTATGAATCGAAACATTAAACAAACGAACTGAAAACAAACAATAAACGGCGAAATGAAGCATAGAACGTCCGGTGAATTTACTAGGGGAAGCCAATAAAATATCGAAGAATGCGGACGTTAACAACCTTTGTCACAACATCGATTCGATAAACAAATAAATTGATGTCGAGATCAAAACTGATTACGCACACTTCGGGAATTTAGTGTAATTTTAAGATAAGTGGGTTTACACTTGTTCAACAAACAAATTCCTTCCCATATTTGTTGGCAAAAAATAAAATTAATTATTAATATTATTATTATTTTTATTACATTATTATTAATGATTATTTTTATTATTATTTGTTTCAAGGCACATAATTTTTGCCACCCTCTACTTATGGATTGAAGTTGGTTATTCATTTTCTGTTTCAAGCCACGCGACGCTGGGTCAGCTTCTTTTGGTATCTTGTGTGTACTGCCACGATGTTTTCATTGTATAAACCCTTTCCGGGCCGCCGCTGTATGATCGCCTCCGTAGGTTTTGTCATCCGTTTTATCAGTAATCAATAATCTCGCAGTAATTTTAGAAGTGTCCAAATTTTGATGATTTCTTTGCGCGCAGAGCTTACTGGTGGATTCGTTACTTAGAAAAACGGTGAACAGATCAAAACTAATTATTTACCCGTGTGGTGGCATGCTGCACTCGTTTCAGCACGCGGTCCGCAATGGGTTAAATATTATAGTATGTTGTCAGCTCTTGAAATTTCTGGGCAATTCCGCGTTCGCAGAAGCGGGCCATTCGGATTCAAATGTAAAACACTACTTCTAATTGACTCGCTGGTGAACAAAAGAGGACAAGAACCGACCGAGAACTTAAAAGTCAAGGCCTCCTTTCTCCGAATGCTTGAGGACTCTGATAGACAGACAGTCTGAGATACATTGGCATTGGGAAAAACGTCCCGTCATCTTGTCGTGTTTGTCCTGAAAGAAGAGGAGCGCAGGGATAAGGTAAGGAGTGCACAGGTGGATAGATGCAGGCTATAAGCCTCTAGCACCTATGCAACTCGTTCCAGTCACGAAAGGCACGCTACAACCACAACTATGATCCTAGCCATCTTTCCGTTTCCTATAACCATTCGCAAAATATGCTTTTTAAAACAGAGTTCACGATTAGGTAAGTGAAATGTTCGAAATTATTTGTGGAAGGGTACACGGGTACTAGAAACGGTGTTGCCATTGCTGCACCCACTGCGGTTTAGGACAGGTTAAGCACTTCCATGCCCACCTCCACTGACTCTGTGCCTACGTCTCTCTCACTCCTAGCTTCTCTCGTGCCCTTGTCGTCAGAGTCTCTCGTATGGACACGGATACTCTTCGTGCGTTGACTGCGTTCGGTGGGTACGTTGACTCCCATAACGTCACAGATCATTTGTAAGAGGGAGCCTCATAAGGAATGTCTCCGATAGATCATTTGAGATCCTTCTCGGCTGAAGGTTCACGCAGCATCTGTCACTATAATTGAACCCCAACATCCATATAATCGTGGGTAATCCCGGATTCCCAGAGATAGCAAATGTAATCGTCAATGCGTAACAGAACAGGAGCAAACTGGCGATCCACTGAGGCTCAGCGCCTACCTATACTCAGAGTAGACGCAATTGTTGCAGATGCAGTAATATTCAATTTACTAACCCCGTGTTGGGGTGCCTGCCGCTGTTCTTTTTGTAGTAATGTAGCGTCAACGGAAACCAATTTTTTCTCCTAGTAGAAGTGGGCGATTTGGCTGTGAGGAGCAGACCACTAGGTTCACGTCTGAATGCTGTTGAACTCGAAGCGGACGGGTTGATAACCCAGGTCTACCAAGCAATGGAGGGTCATGTGCAGAGATGCACACCGTAGTACGCGACTTGAGACGCTGTTTCCGTTAGTAGCATTTCAACCAACAATTGCTACTGTCTCCCCCCCCCCCCTCCCCTCTCGCCCGCCCCATCCTCTTTTTAGGCAGGGCAACTGTAACGAAAGATCTTCGGCAATGGGACCTACACTGATATTCATCTGACTAGACTTTTATAAAGCATGTATGTTATTTCAGAACGCCCCGTGATTGATTAGAACAGCTGTCCGGGGCAAGTCGATCGTCCGAGAAGATTGGTCGTGTTTTTGCTGTATTGACGCTGTCATCGAAATCCATAAGTATGTACACATCTGCACAAACATCTCTCATGAAATATTGCTATGCACTTGCTCTTGAATACACTGGAGATGACGAGAAATATCGCTTGTTCTGGAATATGGGTAAAATCAGTTGAAATTGAAACGCTGCATATTACGTGAAATGAAAAGGTGGATTAGTCAAGGTCATCTAGCGCAACTTTTAGGGGTGGTGGCAAGGTTAACCGTCCGTTCGCATTATTCGAAAAAAAGGAGAGAGGTGCGTTTGTGGTTTTGGGACGGAGTTCGTATTTGGGTGAGGCTAACCATGTTTGGGAAAGGCTTAAATGGGAAGTTGTATTTGTGGAAAGTGAAAGGGTGCTGAGTGGTGGTGTAGAGGGGGAGGTGGGTCGTTTTTGGCGGATCTATCGACGATTTCGGCGAAAAATTCATGGAGGAAGCGTAAAATGGATAAAAAAGGAGTACTTCTAATTCGGAAAAAAATTTACCCCTCTCTCCCTCCCCCCCCCCACTCCCTCGATGAGGAGGTTTGGGGGTAAAATGGGCAGTGTGGGCCCCTGTCGACTGGTCTCATAATCAAATGCTATAGAAAGCCATGAGAAACGCAGACAAATAAGCGGACGAGTCGCAGAGCGTGGATGATGTGGGACGCACTGTATTCCATTCTTTTTAAGCTATCTCGGAATCACTGCAGTACCCGCTGCGACACGTCCACCGACTTGCCTGCGTCTCTGCCTTCTGGCTGCGAGACGGGTCTCCTGTCAGGTACTCGGTTCTGGGCCTCCGCATATACAGTGCGTGCCGCACCTAACTTCCCTTTTCGAAGGCTCACTCGAAGCACGGAGCATCTAACCCTGCTGGATGCGGTGGAAGACTTCAGCTGCTAGGTTACGTAGAGAAAAAATTCTCAACACATGGTACAAGGTCTGTGAGAGGTTTCCAAAAAAGCCACCCTCTTCTGCTTTAGCACTGCCTACTCCTTCCTTCGTTTCAAAGCTTCACCCTCTTTAACCGAGAAACCGTTCTCCTTCTTTCGAAAGAAGATAGAAACACTACTGGGAACGGGGAAATTTCCTGAATTTTACATGGATCTCCTGGTGCACTCAATATGACTAATCGTCCGCGGTAACGCCCGGCGAGGCCGAGTTTACCGCTAGAAAACATCACATCGGTATACATTATCCTCCACCCCTTCACCCTGATTCGGGACCAGGGTCAACCCTATGTTGCTACAAGTAGCAACGGGGGGGGTCGTATTTTGATGAGTTTGTAGAGGGGGGGGTCGTACTTGCTTCGGTTGTAAGAAGTTGCATGTGATGAGTGGGGAGCGGCGCGGGAGAAAATTTGGGAATTTTGGAAATTTTTACGTTTCAGAGTGACTATATACCCCCCCCCCGCTCGACGGCATTTTTGGAGGAAAAAGTGGGCGGGGTTTTGATGGAAGATGGAGATGGTGGAGGTAGGGAAAAGGGGGTCGTATCAAATCCACCTTGGGGGAGGGGGGTCGTAAAAATTTTTCGAAAAGTAACAACGATAGGACAGACCCTGTTGGGACCCGCGCAATTCTTTCCCACTCGAAA